AACGGAGTAAAAAAAGCCAAGTATCTTGGACGTGTTTACCAGGTAGGATAATTCCAAAAAGTTTGGCCCACCAATTAATTTCTATACATCTTCTGGATCATCAAAAATAGCTCACCAACCAATATGAAAGTTGCAAAAATTAGGAGTCCATTGGAGCCACTGCATGGCTTGGCACCAACCTTTCCGCCAATTTTTACCTTCAGTAAGTAAGGACGTACTTTCCTTTTGAAGAATGAAGCAAAAGATGCCTTTTTCTTTACACCTAAACACTTCAATTACCCAAAAATACTCAAAAACAATCCTAAAAGTCCTTTGTTCCTGGAACCTGAGTTTGGGAGAAAATGACTTGAAGGTGATAGTAAATGGGCCCTCGCTGAATACCCCTGTAAATAACGATGTCCATCAAACAATAAACCCAACAAGTAGATATCAAACCAGTCCCTTAGTATTCCCTAAAAAATACAGAATGATCAAGAAAAATACTTTTCTGCATGCCAAAATTTGGGTTTGTTAACATTGCAAAAAATCAACGAAACCAAGCTTCGAGACTTTGTTTTTAGGCCATAAAAGAGATTTTTTTGAAAAAGTTACAAACACTTTTAAACCCCCGACTACGTCCCCCCTGAGCCAACAAAGCCTTGGTGGGTTGGCTCCCATGTAAACTTCACATCCATGCCAAATTGTGTACCACATTGCAAAAAAATTCAAGACGAAACCCAAGCTTGAGGACTTTGTTTTTTAGGGGGTCCAATAAAATGAGATTTTTTGAAAGTTTACTATTCACTTTTACCCAGATCCCCCCTGGAGCACAAACGCCCTGTGGGGTTGCTCCCATCGGTAAACTTCCCTCCTGAAGAAATCCATGGAAGAAAAGGCGTTCTTAACATCTAGCTGAAATGTAAAAGCCCATCCATAAAGTAAAACTGCTTAAAGAAATAAAACAAAACGAACAGAAAAAGAACAATTTGGGGCGCTACACAAAGAAGAAAAAGTATCAGAGTAATCAGGCGCATAAATCTGAAGAATAAGCCCTTAGCAAACTAATGCGTGCCTTTGAGACCGATTCAAATTTTTAAACTTGTGAAAAGACCCACTTACGACTAATTAGCTTTTTTTCCTTACCTGCCGGGAGAGGCCACAAGAATTTCCAAGTAACGCAAATTGGTATCTACAGGCCGGCGCATCCTCCTCTTTCATTGCTTGAACACAAAACCAAGATGGCAAAGCCTGGTACCACAAGTTTTAAAGGGAATAGAAGACAGAGTCTAAAGGTTTACTAACATAAACAACGATTATGAAGAAGAAAAGAATGATTCAATGAAGATTAAACAAAAAAGAAGAAATAGGATAGGTACTAAACTTTGCATTTAACCTTTTCCGAAGAGAAAATGGGAAGGCCAAGGTCTTGACTGAGGAGTAGATGGCAACAGGCTCAGGTTTGAGTGGGAGGGAACCAGATCTTCCTGTTGAAGCGGCAGGTTTTGGAGGGAAGTTGAGTTCAAAGTGTTTCCTAGTCCCTCTCTGGGAATAACCTGTTTCAAAAAAACGAAAGGCGAGGCAGATGCTGGTGCAGGAAGGGGGAAATAGGAGCAAAGAAGATGTTGTAAGCGGGGAGCAGGTGCAAGGTTCAGGATAAGGAGCAGGAAGAGCTAGGGAAAATTGCCTGGAATAGCGGTTTTTTAACTAAAAGTCATCCAAATCCTCCCCCCTCACTCTTATATATAGAAGAAAGGGAAAAATGGAGTATTTTTTCCAAAATGAGACCGTCTATAAGAAATAAGATAAACGGTCAAGGAAAAACACAAACGAAAGGGGACCTTTGGATCTAAACCTTGGAAACCTATGGACGAAACATCAAACGAACAAAAACAAGTACATACCAAAAAATACCGAACAAAACAAGTACAACCAAAAATACGAGGTTCAATGGGAAATAGAAGTTTAGAAGGAAACAAGACACTATAAGGAATTGCACCATTAAGCACGATAGAAGCCATGCGATTAATCAAAAAACATGCAGTAGAGACAGCATCCACCCAAAAATGTTTAGGGACCTTCATTTGGAATAGAAGTGCCCTAGCAACCTCAAGAAGATGTCGATTTTTTTTTTTCTGCAACCCTATTTTGAGAAGGAGTATCAACACAAGATGTTTGGTGAAGAATAACATTCTGTGACATATAAGATTGGAAGGAACTAGATAGATATTCTTTAGCATTATCACTTTGCAATATGCGAATAGATGTATTAAATTGAGTTTAATCTCAGCACAAAAGGAACAGAAAATAGAGAATATCTCAGAACGAGTTTTCATTAAAAATAACCAAGTAACTCTAGAATAATCATCCACAAAAGTTACGAAACATCGAAAACCAGTTTTAGAAATAACAGGACATGGACCCCAAACATCAGAATGAACTAACTCAAAAGGGGATGAAACCCGTTTATTGACTCGAGGAACTTTTATTGACTCGAGGAACCCTAAAGGTAACTAAAGGTAAACGATGATGTTTGGCAAATTGACAAGATTCACATTCTAAAATTGATAAAGACTGAAACTGCGGACATAACTTCTTTAAAGTAGACAACGATGGATGACCCAAACAACAATGAACCTCAAGAGGAGAGAGAGCACTAGCACAAGCCAGAGATGACGAAACGTGTTCATCCAGAAGATAAAAGCCACCTGACTCACGTCCTCTACCAATAATCCGCTTCATCAAAAGATCCTGAAACACACAATAGGTAGGATAAAATTTAACACAACAATTTAATAGTCGAGTAATTTTGCTAACAGACAATAGATTGAACGAAAAACGAGGCAAACAAAAAACAGAAGATAACGGAAGAGATGGGATGGGATTGGTGGTGCCAATACACTGGACAGAAGATGTGGACCCATCAGCTAGAGTAACATGACGATTAAATTGTCTAGGATCTTTTAATGAGGATAAGAGACTAGGGTTACCTATCATGTGATATGTGCAACCAGAATCAATGACCCACTCCGATGAGGTAGACATAAGACATGTAGTAGGAGTACCTAGTAGAAGTACCTGAATTGGCAGCAGCAGTAATTGAGGAATCAGTAGACTTAGAAGAACGGCATCTAGAGAGCTCAGCATACTCCGCAGCAGAAAGTGTTACAGTGTTCTCAAAAGAAGTAACTGCAGAATCTTGAGTAGCCGTATTTGCCCGTGGGGGCTTATTTAGTAGTTTCTTACAATACCGTTTAGTGTGACCAGGTTCATGGCAATAACGACAGATAATGGCAGATAAGAATGCTCGCCTCCCGACTAATTGCTCCATTAGGAGAAAGTTCAAAAGCAGAATACCCATAACTGCAGCAAAGGTGCAGTACCAAACCCTGATGCAATAAGGAATCACTAGAAGATCACCGAAAATTACCTAAAACAATTGTCACAACAAAGGAAAAGATAGATTTCCTCAGCAAATTAAAGCAACAACAGTAGCAGAAGACTACCCGACACAGCTGCAACAGAATCGCAGCAAACAAACTAATTGAATAAGCCCAAGAATAACAATGCAACTCACTGGGTTGCACGTCTCTCTTCAAGTCAATGCCGGAGAGAGGAACCGGAGTGAAAAAGACCACTAGACATGCGCCAGCGCATGAACCAGAGCAACCACGACATGCGCGCGAGCGAGCATGAACCAGAGCAGGTAAGAAAAGGTGATACAGCTGGGGCCATTCACGTTGGAAACCGGGCAACGCGATTTCTGGGGGAGGCGCATGAAATGGGCAGAGCAGCTTCGGCTTGGAGAATTAATCTCTGAGTCTGGTTGGTGAGACAAAAATACTTAAGCGCCTAGAAAGGCTTCTTGGGTGCAAGCGGCTTTCTCGCAAGCAAAGTTTCTGTAAATTTTTTTTTTTTTTTTTTTTTTTGAATTGGTAAGGCTCTGATACCAATTTGATTCAGATAGATTATATTGTAATTGTATTTTGTGTATCTCATTATCGATTACATGTAGGTCTATATATAATAGTGAAATTTTCTATGCTCAGTAGCTATATAAGAATTACAAATCATATATTAATTAGGAATATACTTAGGGAATCTAATCTAGGAAAAACGTGAGTTACTATATTGGACATAGGAACTAATTAGGAATACGTGTACTATATTGATTTTCCTTAATAGAAATAAATATATAAGACTTTGAAATTTTTGAATTTAATCTTATTTATATCTATATGTAAACTTGAGAAAGGGTCTTCCATTACCAATATTATTGTTTGCACATTAATCCCTATATGAAGCTGAGAACTTTAAGTAATTTATTTTTAGATTTTGTGTAAAACACATGGAGTCCAAAATATTACATACTATTGGCAAAATTTCAGCTGAACTTCATCTGATAAAAATAATTGATGTAAAGGTCAAATTTATATTTTATATTGTGGAAGCATAGAGCAAGTCTTGATTTATTAGATTAATGTCCACATTATAAAATATTTTGCAGTATGGTAAATGCAAATTTTTAGTTATTTTATATAATTAATTTAATTAATTAAATAACATATATATATACATATTATTTTTATTGAACAAGAGAAGAAAAACATTATTATTCTTATTATCAAATTAGGATGTAAAATGTTTAATACAAAAAATTTTGAATAATCATTTATTTTAATCTAACAGGAGCAAGTCTTGATTTATTAGATTAATGTCCACATTATAAAATATTTTGCAGTATGGTAAATGCAAATTTTTAGTTATTTTATATAATTAATTAATAACAAAATTACATTTTTTTTATTAAACAGAGAAGAAAAACATTATTTTCTTTTCAATTAGATGTTACATGTTAAAAAAATTTTGATTAATATTTATTTTAATCTAACAAGAATTTAGACTTTAATATTGTATAAATAACAAGAAATCAAACGAGTATATAACAATCAAAATCAACGTGCAACGCGCGTCATAAAAGAACTAGTAATAAAATAAAAGCATGAGCACAAAAGAAAATTTACCTTTCCCAACCTCATGGAGGCTGGTACATCTCATTCCCCCCAAGGTTGAAAACTTATCCACCAATGCTCCCTCTATCTACAATATGATATAATGGTTGTTAAACATTACTTCCCATCAAACAAATACATTGAGCAACAGATTGTTTCAAATTCAACACAACCGAACTTTAAGTCAAACTGGTTAGGTTTGCTATATGAATCACTTTCCTTCATAACTCAACTAGGCCTTGATCATCTTATAGAAACAATAATTAAAAAATAATTCATATTGATAATATGAATGTATTTAAACTTCAAAAATAAGTATAAAATAAATAATTAAACGCAATAGACACGCGTCATTTACGATGTCAATATCATGAATATATGTGGCATCATGCAAGTTAGTTATGATAAGTATTCTTCAACAATAAATGAAGAAATGGCAAAGTAAATTGTTACTTCGATTAACAAATGCTTTAATTATTAATGATGGAAGGATTTCTAAGAAAGACACCAATTATCTATTTGGTAATGTGATAATGTTAATGAGGTGTATATGCATGTACATAAGCATGTATTCTAATCAAGTCAATTTTACTCCAACCCTAATCCAATTAGGATGAGCGGCATGTGACATTTTTCTGAATATGTTACACTGTTTGGGAGAGTAGAAGCTGACAAGAAAGAAAACTGTAATTGAAATCTGCTTAGGAGTGAATTACATTTTCCTTCTTCATTTGGATGAAAAGAAAATAGGATGGAAAAAATAGATAAATGCAGAACTTTTGCAATTACAAAGTTGTAAAATATTATGAATCAAGGGTTAGACATATAATCATAACTTTTCACTCATTTTCTATATGGTAGAGACTGGAGAGAATGGAACTGATGGGCCCAAAGGGAAAACATTGAGCAAAATGCTTTGCTACAGCATGTACTATTTTGTCCTAAAAACTCTTTGAAAAACTAAAGTATAATTGGCAGTTTTCTATGCCAATGAGTTTGAGAGGAGTCATATTGAGATGAGATGTTGAGTTCTTTAGTGAAAGCTAGTGAGTTAAAATAGAGTTGCCAAGTGTTTAATGTTGATGCTTGAACTTATTGCAAACAATGGATTCATTGTCAATTTTCTATTAATTTAATTATGAATTAATAAAGGAAGTCATCAATCCAAAAAATTAGTTCATTGATGTTTAAGCTTCTTGGCATCAATGAATTAACCATCAATTTTTCATTGATTTTTTCTTTTATTAATTTGATTATAAATGAAATCATCAAACTCTAAATTCCAAAAGAAAATTAACCAAAAAATTAAGAAAAAATAGCATAATTAATCTATATCTATATAATCTATCTCTCTATATCTATATCTATATTTATATTATACATCTATATAAAAGTTGAAGCAAATTCGCTAACATGATGCAATTCTAAAATATGATTTTGCTATGTTGGAATTAGTTTTTTGTTTTTTAAAAAATAGTTTTTTATATCATTGATGGACATTGATGGAGCTAGAATTGATATAATTGATGACATTAATGATATTTTTTAGTTTCTTGTTAATAATTAATAAAATAAATAACATTATTAATAATTTGTAAACGTTTTAATTTCCTTTTTCTAGTAAGTAATAAAATGTTTCAATTTAATTTTTAATAACTAATAAAACTGATAATGTCATTAATATTATTAAAGTAATTAATAAAATAATAATATCAATGATATCTATATAAATAATAATAAAATTAATAAAATAACTTTTTTTTAATTTTTCCATTTTAAAGGACATTGCTTTTTCATAAATATCTCTGTAAATTTATACACCTATTTTGCTTTTTCATTTTTTTGATTACTTTATAATTTAATTTTCTTTTAATTTAGACATTAATGAAGTTAGAATTAATATCATTAACAATATTAATGATGGTTTTCAATTTTTTTCCAATGATTAATAACATTAATAATATCATCAATATTCTCCAAATAGTAAAATGTTTTAGTTTCATTTTATTAACTAGTGAAATTCATAATATCATTAATATTATTTCAAATTTATAAATAAAACAATTTCTTTTTCTAATATATAGTCATTAATATTTTTAAATAAACAAAAAAATAACAAAATTGTATATCTGCACAATTTTGTAAAAATTGTCATTCAAAAATCTAAAATTATTAAACTCTTCATGTTCTTTTTTCTTAGAATTAATAATCTCATTATATATATTGTATTAATGATAAAACTTTTCAGTTTCTTTTTTTTCAATAATTAATAACCCCAACAGGTTTATTGCATTAATAATTTTTTCCAATAAATGACCCCACAATGTATTTATTGAATCCATTATTTGCTCAGCTCAACTATACATACTTTGCATCTCTTTCACTTCACAACAAGTGATTGTTCTCGTTTGCATATAAGAATCTAATCATGATTTTTCTTTTTTTTATTTTTTTTTTCTTTTTTAGCTCTATCTATTTTCCTATTGATGTTTATCTTTTTTTTTTTTCAAGCTTTCAGTCTCTCATCTGCTTATAGCAATCTAATCATGCTTCTTTTTGTTTTTTTTTTTTTTTAAATTTAAATTTTCTTTTGAGTATTATGTGTATATTACATTTATTATATTTTGCTGTACAAATTTTTATTTTCTTTTTTAGGTTCAACTCTTACTCAGTAACAAAAATTATTAGCCTGAAAAAAAAAAAGCACCTAACAATTTGTAATTTTATAGTTTGAGTAAAATAAATTGGTTCAATTTGCAAAAAAAAATATTTATATAGTCATAGTTAGTAAAGCTGAAAAGTTGGGTCTATCGTTTTCAATTTGTTAAGATAGAGTGCGTTTGTCATTTTTCAATTTGTAGGAAATGTTGGAGCAACAATATATTGTTCAGCGCGAGAGAAATAAAAACCCAAAACAGTATTCTCCCAATTCTCGCCGCCGAAGATCCTCAAGAACACCGATCAAATGAGAATTTCAATCTATTCGACGCGATTTTCAGCGCGTCCTAGCCACCACAGTTGCCTCCAATGAAGTGATGCACTCTCTGGCAGCAAGCATGTGATAGCCAACTTCTTTTATAGTTGTTGACCTTATTGTAGCCAATATTTAGGTTTTACGGCGAAGAAAGCGGGTGGTCATGTGACCAGTGGCCAGTAGAGATTTTATTATTCATATTGTTTATCTTCACTGTAATTCGGAGCTAAAGTGAGCACTAAAAGGTAAATTTGGCCCATTCATAATTTTATCAAAAAAAAAAAAAACGAAATGACTTATCGTGCACACCCTTTATATAAAATAATAATAATAAAAAAAATATAATTTGTAAGGTTTTTATCTTAATAAATCTAATTTTATAAACTTAAACATTGACCAAAATAATTTTATAAAATAAAAATTTTTTAATAAAATATAATTTTATAAATTAAATTGAGAGTAGAATAAAATTTTAAAATTTAAATAAAATTTTAGAAGTGAATTTATATATTCACTAAAAACTAAATTCTTCTACCGTACAATTATACTACTAGCAGTCTGCCACATCACATTCACATGTAAGCGCATATTTTGTCTTATCTTTCTTTCCAGTTTTCCCTTCAAACTTTCCCACCCAAGCCAAACAAGCCGAAAAGAAAATTATTTCTTTCTCTACCTAATACTGACTTTTTTTTAGGCAAAGAAATCTAAAATTGGCAAACTGATTAATACAAACAAAACGAAACCAAAGCAACAATTACCTCGTAAGCCTGAACCTTGTAGCCAGAGCGAACAAGCTTATCCGCCATTTCCAGACTCATCTCGTCCAAGCCGACGAATCCAACAACACCAGGACGTTGAAACGCCATTATTGCTATCCAAGAAGTTCCGCCTAGCCGTTGATTATCGAATTGAAGCGTGTCTAATCCGATGTTGTTATTCTTTCGGGAGATGAGATTCTAAATAGAGGGATTGGTTTTGAATGTAAAATATTAATATATCTTGCAGAAGCAAGGCGAGGGGGAGAGAGAGAAAAGTCGTACAGCGGTAATATATTCTACTATTGGTTTACGGCAAACCAGAATTTATACTGTAAAGTAACGGGAGAGATATGCCCTTTTTTTTTTTTTTTTTTTTTGCTATCCAAAGAAGTCCGCCTAGCCGTTGATTCATCGAATTGAAGCGTGTCTAATCCCGATGTCCTTCATTATCCTAGGGAGAGTGTAGGAATTTGCTAATAGAAGGGATTTGGCGTTTTCTCTCGAAATGTAAAACTATTACATATACTTCTGCAGAAAGCAAGGGCGAGGGGGAGAGAGAAGAAAAGTCGTAACTAGCGGGTTTACATATAATTCTACTATTGGTTTTACGGAGAGCAAACCAAGAGAATTTAAACTGTAAGTAACGGAAGAGGAGTGCCTTTTTTTTTTTTTCTTTTCATACCTGTTTGATTATGAAAAAGCACCATTATATCAATTCTATGTCGTATCCTTTTTTTTTTTTTTTTTTTCAAATGGTTGATTATGAAAAAGCCCATTAATCATTCTAGTCGTTATTCTTATTTTATGTTTGATAAAAGTTTAAATAAATATTTTAATTTAGTTCGAGTTTTTTTTTTTTGCAAAGAGTAATACAATTAGCGATTGAATTTTGACGAAGAAGATCATGACACTCTGAATTTTTGGTGTTCAGGATTGGATAAACATAATTCGTGCTTTATATTTTGGGTCTATGTAAATGTCCATCTACGTGAATCCGTAACATTCTGAATTTTAAAATTAATATTATAATATCATGAATTTCATTTTTTATATAATTTTAAAATTTTTTTATTTTTATGCTATTTGGTATGTAATTAATAAAAATTTTGAATTTTTAATATAATTTTATCTTTTTCAACTGTCTAATAAATCTTTAATTGATTTAATTTTACAAGTTGAAGTATTTTCAATAAATAAAATATCTAGTATATTCAATTTTAAAATTCAAAATTCCAACATGTCAAAATAAAAATTAAAAACGTTATAAAATTTTTCATGAAAAATACATGGATAAACTTATGCATTGAGCCCGTAAAAAATTAATTAATTTATTTTTATTAATTCAATCAATTTTAATTGAATTAACTAAATTCTCCCATTAGAAAATTTAACATGGAAATAATCAACCAAACTATTTAAGCAACTCTATCGTCCCGTTTGTTATAGTTATTCGTTTTTAGTTTTTTATTTATTAGAAACATAAAACTGCTTTTAATTTTTTGTTACTTATTTTCTCAAAACAATTTTTTTTCCTATCTTTTTGTTGATGATGTTAAAAATTCTTCCAATTATCAAATTTCTTCCTTATTAAGCCATTAAAGATTTTAGTTAATAATAAAAAAATCTAAAAATATGAAATCTAATACAAAATAATTAAAAATATTTCACACTTTAATTTTTAAATTCAAATTTAAAGTAACTATTGATTATTATGTATACAATCCATTGAATAAAAATATAATATCTAAATATTATAAATAAATAATACTAAATGAGACACCCCGAATTTTTATTTTTGAAAACTTTCGAATTTTTAATAAATCAAAAATCTCGATTTTCAACTAATGGGCTATATATATATACCAAACAATCTCAATTCGAGATATTTTTAATAAATCAAAAATCTCAAACAACTAAAAATGGGCTCATATATAAGTATACCAAACCAATCTCAATTCGACGCCCAAAAATTTTACGAGTCCAGGCCAGCAAGCACCCAAATGAAAATAACTCTGAAAAGAAAACTTTTGAATCGGAGCGTAAACGGTTAAGAGAGTTTTTTGAGAAATAACACACGAAACCCCGTAATTTAATCTAATTATGAAATATATATTAAAATCATTAATCCTAAAAGCTCAAAATATTGTTATATATAAATACATTTTTATAATTATTGAGTAAATGGAGAAAAAATATTATGAAAAGCCAGACATTTAATACGGTTTATATAATAAATTTGAATCAAGAGCCCGAAATATTTTAATTTGTCGAGAACCACCCAAATAATACTCGAGAACCCGAGGGAAAAACTTGGAAAATCAAGCAGAATGTAGACCACAACCACTAAAATCGGGGAACCAAACCGGTTTGAAATCGAACCGGAATGGCCTAAGAGTTTTGCTAGAAACCGCCTTAATTTGGTTTTGTCGCTTTCTTTTCTTTTCCACACTGTACCTTCTTCAGGCGCAGCGAGCAGCCTTCCCACCTCCACCGCTTCCCTCCCCTCCCGTTCCGGCGGGCAACCGGCTCGCAAACCCGAGAGCGACGATGGCGACCGTCTCCGTAGAGGCTTCTTCTGATCCGTTTTCCGACCTCCCTTCACACACTGGCAGATGTCCTCCAGTGAAACGCGAAGCGGGACTTCTCCATCGACAATTCTCTTGTCTTCGAGTCCAATCACGAGACGAGATCGTGAGCAATTCCGCAACCCGTCAACACACGAAAGGACAGGGCGTCCGAGAGATCGAGTCACCATCCAACGCGTCTCTGAAGTGTTTCTCCTCCATTAATTCTCCGCTAACAAAGCTGTGAAATGGCGAAATCACAAATTATGGGCCCGGGAGCAAACGCACCAAGCTACTGGTCAGAGAATTCAGCTTCCCCAAAAGGGAGGGAGCACCAACCTCCGGGCACACCGACATCGAGAGAGAGAGCTCCGAAATGAGAGATTTGAGTGGGGAATGAGAAGGGCTCAACATTCTGGAAAAGGCCCCAATTTTCCTGAAGCCAAAGCCGTGGAACGCGCACAACCGACATCAAAAACGGACTCCTCGATGAAATTTGAGTGGGGTGACGTGAAGAAGGGTCAATTCTGGGTGGCCCCAACTTTTCCGGCCACCGTAGACGGCGACGATCCGGCGAGTCTCCGGCAAGGTGCCAGGGACAGAATGTTCCTCTCTTCGCGAGGATCGTGGAATCGTCGCTCAAATTTCAATTGGTACATTCTAAGACCAATTTCCTATTTTTGGTATAAATTCTAAACTAATTAAATTGAAAATTTGAATGAATTGATTCATACATCATATATGAGCTAGGGTGAGAATGACCTATTTTGCTGAACAACAACTATTTTGAATAATTGCGAACATTTAGATAAACTAGTTATAAGAATTGATATATATTTATATCTATATACATAAGGGCGAGTCGAGTTACTTAGTAGATGTATTCATTAAATTATAATTAATTGAAGCATTTGTTCTTATTGGCTAGTATAAAATTTAACAAAGGTATAAAAAATGTGACGTATTAGCTTTAAGCAAGAATGAAGAAATGAAAGTAATTGAAATTAACTTACTGATATAAGTTTTATTCGATTATATATGTATTAAAGCTTTCATTTGTTTAATTGTATTTTAAAGTTCAGTTTTGTGTTGGTAATGTAGCTATACTAGCTTCGTTATAATTATATGAGTAAATAATGATTGTCATGTAATCATTGGAAACATAGATGTTGTGACTAATGGTTGAGCGTTGATATCGTGGTTTTGGGGAGGAGGATGGGGTCTTAAAATTGATTGATTGCCCGATGGATGGGCTGTGGTGTAGCTGATTGAATAAATAATAAATAAAAAAAAAAAAATACTGTGTTATCTAAACAGGTGGAATTGTCCAAATTTAAGGGGAGGTGGTCTGCCGAAATTTTTTCGTTTAAGAACTTGAAACTAGTTTTAATTATAACATAATTAAGAAAGTTTAGTTTAAGATTAATTCTATAAACCTTAATGCATAAAAACAGAGTGCTCTAAATTATTTATTTTATTTTCCTTATTATTCATTTAATTATTAAGTATTTAATTATTTTCATTGTTATGTTTAATTCTTATCATTGATTTTATTGTGTTGTTTGTTGTTTAATGGTATATTTGATGTAGCTATTTAAGATTGCATTTGAGAAATGATATGTCCAACTGATCATATGTCTGCATTTTGATTGCAATGTTTTGATAATTGTGTTGTGGAAAATGCTGTGCTTTGTTGTGTGAATTGGGATGAAGTGGAACCACCATGGTTGTGAGGACGTCTGTGATATGGATCCTGAATATCGATATGAATACTTGCGTTCGGCCTGGGAAATTGGGAGATCGGCGCCCCTTGTGCCACCTGATGATATAAGATTATATGGGGATTTACAGATGGCCTACTTGTTGTTGGCGCCACCTGATAATCTAGATTTGATGTGTAGCCCGCAGGGTGGCCGTCCTGTTGTGAGCACTTGAAATGATCTAGATTGGATGGAGAACGCGACTCTGGGGTTGCCTCCGTGTTTGATGGATGGATAAAAGAAAACGAGAGAAGTAGACAAACCAATGAGAGGACTGGTCAGTGAGGATAGACCAGTTGGCGTATGGGTGGATCGGCCTTCCCTGGTGCACATGTACGAGAGGGCGAGCCATGTGTGAGGACGGCTCGTGGTGGTTTCAGGTGGGTGCCACTGACTAATTACTCAAACTTGCTTGATTACTTGAAAGTGAACATTACGTGTGAGTGCCTGGTACTTGCGCTTCGTGAGCATATTACAGCGAATGACTAGATGAAATGTACATATTTGTGGTGACTGCGTGTGTGTGCCAACTAATTATTACTCCTAATAAAACCACATGTCTTATTTTGAATTTTCAGGAAGTAATTTCTTTAAATCCGATTTAATGGCTATGTGTCTTCGCGCCAGGGCAATAGAGGAAAATTTTATTAGTGCCATAATATTTTATATGTAATTATGTGTATAAAAAAAGCCATGTATACCAAACAGTTAGTTGACTCCGCAGTTGTAAAAATTTACATATATTTAGTTGTGTATTACATAGACAAATTTAATCCTGTAATCCATATTAGAATGTGATGTATGTTAAATTGGGGCCCGAATTTAGAATGCTATTAGGAGATAAACTTGGGCCGAGAAATAATAAAATTTGAGGTTTTTATTGTTTCAATAATCAATATGGGCTGAATGTAAAATTTTTATTCCGAGAATTGGATTCTAGTGTTTCAGGCTGACTACGGGCCTCGGGGGCCTTTAAGCTTACCTGGCCCCCAGTGCCGGTCCGGCCCAATGGAATCGGGTCGTGACAAAGTTGGTAATCGTAGAGCTTAGGCT